ACGTAAGCAGCCTCTTAGAGAAAGAGGGAGGAATAGAGAGGCAAAGGGAATTCCAAAGATTATGGCATAGCATCTGGAGGTACAAGTTACCAATGATGAAATATCTAAACCAGGGTTGCAAAAGAGGCATTTCAGAAGTTTTTGAAAAGGACGGTTGAGGCCTTCAATACATATGAAATTTAAACATAGGTGTTGCCAGTGTAGGAGCCAAGGTAAGTGAGCAAACACAGGACTGAGCTGAACTCGTAACCTTTTGACAGCGTTACCTACCAACAACCAACCATGGCTGGGAACATCTAACGTCTGACCAACTAGTGTTACAAGCCCAGACAAAATACATTTTTAAGTAACATTTTTTAATATGAGCGATCAATGTTGGAAATAAATTTGTAACAAAAGGGAAAAGATAAACTAAAGCAATAGAGATAGCAAGAACTGCAGATGCTGGAGTCAGAGACAACACAGTGTGGAGCTGGAGGAACACAGCAGGTCAGGCATTATAGAAGGGTCAGGGCCCTTCTTCTGAAGCGTCAACTTTCCTGCTCACCTGATGCTGCCTTACCTGCTGTGTTCCTCCAGATCCATATTAAAGTAATATTTTCATCATTTAATTTAACCTATTTTTCTCATCAATCTGTTCAGAGTGTTATTACACACCTCTGAACTTGAATCTGGGCCTCCTGGTCTAGAGGTACAGACATTTTCACTGTATACACAACAGTAATATTTTCTTAAATTTAGTACTTCAATTGAAAAATATACACCCTAAAAAGATTCAACAGTGCAGATTATTGAACCCGAGTATTCCTCCCCCTCTCTCCACTCTAACCCACAACCTTATGGGACATGCAGAGATTTATTTATGAATACTATGCTATACTATGAAAGTGCAATACATTATTTGGGTTAAAAAAAAACTTCATTGCTTAAGCAGAGATTTTTTTTAAAGCCAAACAAAAGTCTCTCCTGGATTTTCATTAAAACCTATGACATGGATAACCTTACTCTGATCCATGCATGTGCCAGATGCTATCCCTTCAGTGGTACTCAGATTTAGGTCCATATTGATTTTCCATCCATTTTTCTTTTGTCTCTTAATGTTCATCAACCTCCATTAAGAATGAAGAAGCTCAAGTTGCTACCATCTTGGAGAACAGCACAATGCTGATTCAGTGAACCAATTATAGTTAACCTAATAAAAGACTTAAGTATCTCAGTTGTAATTTTTTTAGTCAGTGTACCATATTTCTAGGTATAGCAAAATTCAGGTGTGAATGCTATCAGGTAAGGCACGTTCCTACGTTCATGCATTCAATAAAATGGTCCCCAAGTCTTATTCACATTTTTGTTCAATCCCACGAGTACTTCAAATATTAAACATTGCTATAATTTATGAACTAATATGATATGAATGTGCCAGATGATCGTAATAATTCGTATAATTTTTATAAACTAATCAATTAAAAATAACTTATAAAACAATGAGGTATCAGAATAAAATAAACAACAGTCATGACTAGTCATACTCTTTTTAAACCAGTCAATTGTACCACAGATCTTCACAAGAGTGTCATCAGACAAAATACAAGCAAAAGGAGATATTGAACAGATAACTAAAGAAGATGGTTTTAAGCAGCTTCTAAAAAGAAGTAACTTTGAGAAGATGTCATGGCCATTACACATGTCAATGTCATATATCTTGACGTTTGATATTAATCATAGGTGTAATGCAAAATCAAGGATTTATGGTAAAAACTCTTTCCTTGCCAGTCACATTTTTTCTGTATGATCCCAGTTTCTTTGTATTATTACATGTGCTTCCTTTAGAAATAGTGGATATTTTGTACCGCTAATCCTGATATTTCAGAATCATTAAAATAGAAGATTTGTACAATGTGTGGGATCACAAATCCTGTGCTACAACACAGGATACAAAGAGAAATGGAAATCAGCTACAAGCCTGCATGACATAATTGGATAAAGTACACAGTTCCCATACCCTGCCTTTTGCTTTCTTTATTCTTTATCATGGCAGTGATATGGCTTATAGTCAACAGGAATACAGATACTTCAGGGAACTGCAGTGTCAATAGTTAAGCTGTACTCACCAGAGACGTTACCATTACAATACTCAGTATTCTCCAAAAGGATTTATCTTTTGTAAACTGCTCTCAACAGTAGTTATCATGGGATAAGAAAAATAGTTGCACCTGACACCATAATGCTCAACTGATGCACTGACAGCTGTGTTACAGCTCTAAACACATACCAATGAAATGCTGGAATAGCCTGCAAACAAAATAAAATGCTGATGAAGTGAATGTTAGGTAATTCAATATCTCTAAGCTTGTGCAGTTCAATTACTCCATGGACAAACGAAGTTATAATGACACCCTCTTTAAGGGCATTGTTTTTGTCAGTATGTTGTGCCACATTATTCATTCACCTTTGTTACTTATGATGCAAAGATCACATCCTTTATTTTTCTGTATTTTTAATTGCAGACTTAAATGGTAAAAAGACTATTTAAAGAATCAGGTATTGTTGAAGGATAGCTGCACTTTTTAGAAGCAAGTTACCAGATATGCATTCCAAATGTTTTTAAACTACAGCATGTTCAAACAGTGAGGCAGATGGGATGATGCTGATGTCAAGCTAGAGCCAAGGGGTGTGTACAAATGGAGCTTTGGCTGCCAACAAGTAGCTGATTGTTCTGCCCACTAGTGGCCAAACATTGATGGCAAAAGCCTTCTGTTTGCCAACCACTACATGGCTCGTTCCTAGCTAGTTGGATAGCTTGGGAATGAGAGTGTTTGCATCAGAATTATCGGATCTCTGTAAAAACAGGAGTTGTCTCTCTTCTTTGCAGTAGAAACCACGTTAAACCTGAAGAAACTTGGTTTATGTTTTCCTTTGCAGTTGCTGTAAGCTGTGGCTCCGAACTAGCAAGACATAGAATTGTATGAACAAGTCATCCTCTACCTTCTGCAATCAAGTGAAAGCATCTAGAGTTGGAGAAACAAGGAGCAGAGCTCCCTAAAAAGTCAAAAAGACCACCTCACTGAATCCTGTGAACAGAGTCCATTGAACTACCTTCCCAGTCTTTGCCTCCACCCATCCCTCACTTTATTCTGTGTGAGCGCATGACCGAGCGCGAGTGTGAGCGCGAGACAGCGTGTCTCGGAACAAGGTTATGAAGAAGCTAGAGTTTAACTAGTGCAACTATATATCGACAGTTCATAATTGTTTATCTGTAGCTAGAATGTACTTATTCGTAATAAATAATCAGGTCATTCTAAAGCACAGAAACCTGAGCCATACTTTCTATCAATCCGAATGTAAAAGACAGGAAAACTGGGACGCAGTACGTGAATCATACAAAGTCAGCTTGCAGGTGCAGGCAAAAAGCATTTATTAAGGGTGACAGAATTTTTGTTGCCACTGTACATGGTGTTGGTGTGATTTAGAGTGCTGGATAGTTTTACTTTCCTTACTGAAGAGGGAATGTGCTTGCATCAAAGGCAATTCAAAGAAGTTTCACTGGTTTGATTCCTGGCACAAAGGAGTTGAGAAATGCACAAGGAAAGGTTGGACATTTTGGGCCTATACTCATTGGAGATTTGAAGAATGAGAGGTGCTCTTATTGAAACAAAATGATTTTCAGGGGGCTTGCCAGTATAAATGCAGAAAGCATATTTCTCCTAATAGAACAATATAAAATAAAGGATCACAGTTTCAGAATAAGTTGTCTACCATTTAAGATGGAGCTGAGGAGGAATTTCCTGTCTCAAGTGGGTCATTAATCTTTGGAATTCTCTACCCCAGACAGCAGTGGAGAGTGGGTCAGGAGTAATTGGATACAATTTATTTTCCAATAATAAAGTCACTGTAGGGATGCAAGGAGGCAGTAAGGACTACAGATGCTGGAAGCTAGAGTCAATAAATGTGGAGCTGGAAAAGCACAGCAGGTCAGTCAGCATCCAAGGAGCAAGGAAGTGAGCGTTTCAGACCCTTCGTCAGGCCCGAAACATTCACTTCCCTGCTCCTCGGATGCTGTCTGGCCTGCTGTGCTTTTCCAGCTTCACATTTATTGACACTATAAGGATGTAAGTTGGTTCATTTCTTTTTCCAAGTCTTTTAAATCTCTTCTTCAAAACCTATTCATGGTAAAGATTCTAATGATTATTCTTTGCCTATCATATTGCTATTTCCAAACAGTGGGAAAAATTGTCTGTATGTTTGTTCCATTTAAATGCTTTCACAATTGTGAGAATCTCAATCAATCCCTCTTAGCCTCTTGTAGTACAGTGAAAAAAGACAATTTCCTTTTGTCACTGTACCTCATGTTCCTAGCATCAGTCTAGTGAATCTTGGCTGCACTTTTCCATGACTCTAGTACTTTTTCTGAAATGAACTAATGAGAACGAGCAATAGCTGCACAAGTCATTAGAAAGGCCAGAAATTTACTACTGCTTCCTACTTTGAAATTCAAACCTCATGCTCAAAACAGTTTTCCATTGTCCTTTTTTTTGGCCTTCACGACCTGTCATGTGTTGCCAATTTTAAAATTCTAAGCATTTACACACCTGGATGCCTTTCTATGCATTTTTTGCATCTTTAGCAAAAAATAAGTATTTAATCTATTTTCTCATTAAGATAAATGCTTCAGTTTTAGAAACATTTACAATTCAAGCTGAACTTTAGCATGGCATTAGATTCAACCAAGGACAACATGGTGCTGTTATACCAATACATTTAGACAAAATGGCAGAGACAGACAGACAGATGGGATGGGGTAAATTAGAATCAGTCCTTTCAACACGTATGCCAAAAAAAAGGGAAATAAAACGTCATTTCTTCATTTTAACTGTACATGATTCTCAGACTAAATTTTCAACAGAACTCTGTGACCTCCGGTAGCTAACAGTCTTGTTGAATACTACAGTTCAGCAGTTACATAGACATATGCTTCTAAAGCCACACTTTTCATTAGCGGGTACCTGTTCTCTTCCTGCTTCTGGAGATCGTGGATGTTCCACCTTTTCACTCAGAATGGCTTCCAACTTTAATCTTTCCTCCTGAAGGGGATCTTCTGCTAGAACATCTGGCTCCTCATCATCTGTTCGTCCAGATGGACTGGTCAACTTCTGGCCCAGACCTCCATCAGTCCTGAAATCCTGGAGGTCGCGGTCTTTATCTACAATGACCCATTCCTTGGAGTCAACCTCCTGCCTGCAGGAGCTCAAGTTAACCGCTACAAATCCATTGCTAATGACAGCATCACCATGCTCAGGAGATCCCACAGAGATAGGCTTCGAACTGTCAGGAATGTACTCCTCATCAAAGTGCCATACTCTGTCAGTACGAGCAGCAGCAGAGGCTTTCGAAGGCTGGGTAGCAGCAACATCTTTAAGCAAGCCCAAGTCTTCCTGAGCCTTAGTGGAACTGGACACAAAGAAATGTATATTGTTACACAGAATTAAAACAAAAATACCAAGATTGTCCAAGCAACCTTCGGTTCCATTAGGAATAAATAAATCCTGTTGTGCAGCTTACTTATTTTTGTTATTTGCCAGATTTCTACCATTTAATCTCTATAGTATGTATGCTCCAAGAACATTAGAGCTTCACAGGCACAGAAACAAAAATGATATTAAAATTAATTCAGACTATCAATCAATCTTCCGATTGTCTCAAGCTACTTTTTCTGACAAGTCATGGAATGCAATATATTAATAACTTGTTAGTCTTTTTGTTAATGTCTAGGCATCTTGCCAGATTTTTATTTTAAACCTATTTTATTTTAAAGCTTAAATGAGAACAAGAGTCAGATAAAGGGCACATTCTACATTATGTCAAAAATCTGTAATCAACTGGCACAAATCCTATTTGATGTAAATGCTTGATGCATTAAAAGGTTATAAAAATATGAACCAGTCAATTTTCAGTGGACGTACTTGCAAGATTCTCAGTTGAGTGGATGTAGTTAATGAATTCAAGGTTTGTGAACAAAATATGATATTTTCAACAATACATCTTTATAACCTTGTGTACAGAAATCATATATTCTATTAAAAATTACAACATCCTGATTTGGTGCAAGAAGAATTTCAGCTTCCTTTCAATATTACTGATACTTCATATTTTGGATTTCACTTATGGTCGATAGCAGAAGAGAACAAGATGAACAATGTTAAACCACGTCCATATTGCTGATAAAAATTTACTAACAAACAACAGATACGGGCACACTTAAATGATTAGAAAGAATTTAATTTTCTTTTCGGTGATTGAAGGAGGATAGAGGCGGACCAAGAAGGCAGCTTACCAGCATCCTTTCAAGGGCAATTAGGGAAGGGTAATGAATGCTGCTTTGCTTGTGATACACACACCCCACCAACGAACAAAACAAAAAGGGACAGAAAAAGAAATCGTTCACAAGCTAAAGAAGCATTCAGCCTATCACCTTTAAAGCTTTATCCTTTATACAGACAGTCTTTTGAAGCTAGCTAAAGATCAACTCAAGTTTATATTTGATTTTAGGAATTCAAGAAGTAGTAAAGAACAGGTACAGCAGTTTTACTCTGCCCTATAACTTAGTGAGATGATTGTCTTGTGGTATTATCATAGACTATTAATCCAGAGACTGCAGGTAATGTTTTGGGGGCTCAGGTTAGAATCTTACCATGGCAATGGTAAAATTTGAATTCAATAAAAATCTGGATTTAGGAGCCTAATGATTATGAAACCGATTATGAAATCTACTGGTTCACTAATGTCCTTTAGGGAAGGAAAAGTGCTGTGACTCCAGACCTACAGCAATATGGTTGATTCTTAATTGCCCTTAATTGCTGGCCTCGCCAGTGATGTCCACATACAATAAACAAAATATAAAAAAAATTAAATTTTTAGAAGTATCATTCAGTATTGCATTTATTTACTGCATGATATCAGGGAATCTCATTATGATGAAACAGTGGATACTCAGGCTACTTCCATAGGAAAAATTTTGTTTTAAGAATTCTTTCAACAACTTCATGTTTATTGGCCAAAAAGCTGTGAATTGTCCTCTAGTGTCCACAATATATAACTTTAATTAATAAAAATAAAAGCAGAATGACTAACTAATGTTAGTCCAGCATATCCCCAGGAGGAAACTTATCATTTCCTCAATGATGAGCAGAACGGCCACCAGAAATACAATGCATATAAAACAACAGATTGAAAATCTTTACCTCCAGTTACCTTCTGTAACTATTTCACATTCTATTTTTGACACGTTTGTTTATTTTTGTGTTTTTTTAATGTAGTAGCATCCCTATAGGGCTCTTATGGTGCAGTGGTAGTGTCTCTACCTCTGGACCAGGAAACACAGGTTCAAGTCCCACCTGCTTGAGACATGCTTCACAACACCTATGAGCAGATTGATTAGAAAATATCTCGGGGCTCTTCCACAAACGGTAGTGAATGCTGGATCAGTTGTTAAAATTTTAAATCTGAGATGGATAAATTTGTTAAGATATTAAGGGATACACAACAGAGGCAGGTATGTGGAGTTAGGCTACTGATTAGCCATGATCTCACTGTATGACAGAACGGGCTTGTGGGATTGACCAGCCAACTCCTGTTCCTATGATGTAGTGGTAGCGCCCCTAGCTGAGTCAGGTGGTCTTGATTCAAGTCCCACCTGCACCAAAGGTGCATAATAACACCTTTGAACAGGCTGATTAGAAAATATTTAATATGAAGGATAACAGTATCCCTTCAATTTCAGGAACACTTAATTGAACGTGAAGCCATTTGGGGCATTCTGAGGTTGTGGATTTTGCAAGGCTTCCGTTCTTTCTCATGCAACAGTAGCCATAAGGTAGCTTACATGTCTTTGGTAAAGCAACTCTGTATCAGCTCCAGGATGTTCCAAACTTGGAAACTTCATTCAAATTAATGGGACACTGGGACATGGACAGCATCACCAGAATAGTTCTAAATGGACAGAAGCCTAAAATACAGACCTCTAATGGATAGCAAACATTACATGTGAAAATTAAATGTTTTGTTTTCCTTCCTTCATCTGTTCTGTTCCCGTAGATCTGCTTACTAAACAGAAAACTACAGAACAAGCCAGTTTCAACACCAAAGTGATTGGATTTTTAACTAATCTAATACATTTACCTGTAACCATTTCAAAATTATTATATATTTACAGTAAAGAGGAGACCAATAAAACTTAATTTTTTGCAACTAGACAAAGGACAGGCTGTCCGAGGCAAGATTTGTTGGAATAGCAGCCGGAGTGTAGCAGAGTGCACCTGGGGGTGAAAAACAGCAGAATCTCCCTATAAGGGCCTGAGGGGTGAGGCCTGGGTTGAGCTAAGTCAGAGTAACAGCAAGAGCTGAGCAGAGAAACTCTTTACAGGTTCACTGTTTCTTAAAGGTGGAGTCACAGGTGAACAGGTTAGTGGAGATGGCGTTTGGTATGCTTGCCCTTATTGGTCAGTGCATTGAGTATAGGAGTTGGGAGGTCATGTTGCGCTGTACAGGACATTGGTTAGGCCACTTTTGGGATACTGCATTCAATTCTGGTCTCCCTGGTATAGGAAAGATGTTGTGAAACTTGAAAGGATTCAGAAAAGATTTACAAACATGTTGCCAGGGTTGGAGATTGAGCTTTGGGGAGAGGCTGAATAGACTGGGGCCTTTTTTCCCCTGGAGTGTTGGAGGCTGAGAGCTGACCTTACAGAAGTTTATATAATCATGAGGGGGAATGGATAGGGTGAATAGCCAAGGTCTTTTTCTCAGGGTAGGGGAGTCCAGAACTAGACAGCATAGGATTAAGAGACAACAAGGTGCAGAGCTGAATGAACACAGCAGGCCAAGCAGCATCACAGGAGCAGAAAGGCTGACGTTTCGGGCCTAGACCCTTCATCAGAAAATGCATAGGATTAAGTTAAGTTGAGGGGGGAAAGACTTAAAAGGGACCTAAGGGGCAACATTTTCACAGAGGGTGGTGTGTGCTTAGAATGAACTGCCAGAGAAGATGGCAGAGGCTGGTACAATTACACATTCAAAAGGCATCTGAAAAGGTATATGAATAGGAAAGGTTTGCAACGATATAGACCAAATGCTGGCAAATGTGACTAGATTAATTTAGGATATCTGGTTGGTATGGATGAGTTGGACCGAAGGGTCTGTTTCCGTGACACTAAGACTCTATGAATCCAGAGGTGGAGCTCCTGAGGCAACATCAGGATAAAAAAAAAACGTGGATGTGCTCCTCCTCCTCCTCCTCTATATGGGATGTTGTAGGAGATGTATTTGCAAGTACGGTCAGGAAGGGATTAAAACTGCAGGCAGATAGCAACCTTATAAAGAGAGACAGAAGGGAAGGAAGCCAGGGCAAAAAAAGGGATAACGAAAGCAATAGGTAGAGATCTCAAGAGCAAAAGTCAAATAGAGCCATTGTGCTAAATAATGTAAACAGTACTTAAAATGTTAAAAAGACATGTTCTTAAGGTTCTGTATCTTAATGCGCAGAGCATTTGCAACAAAGCAGGTGAATTAGTCGTGCAAATTGATGTAAACGAGTATGACATAGTTGGGATATTGGAGACGTGGCTTCAGGGCAACCAGGGATGGGAACTGAATATCTGGGGGTATCCAATTTTTAGGAAGGACAGACAAAAAAAGAAAAAGAGGAGTGGTAACATGCTGGTTAAAGAGGACATTAATGTAATAGTGAGGAAGGATATCAAGTGGAATCTGGATTGGTGGAACTCAGAAACACCAAGAAGAAAACGATAGTGGGGGTTAGACCTCTCCCCCCACATTGGTATTGAACACAAAATCCTAAAACTGTTGGGGAACACAGGGTCCAGTAAGAGGGAAGAACTGAAAGAAATTAGTATTAGTAGCGAAAGGGTGTTGGGAATTTGATAGGATTAAACACTGAAAATCCCCAGGGACCAATAATCTATATTTCCAAGCATCTAGTGAAGTGGACCAAATAGTGGATGCATTGGTGGTCACATTTCAAAATTCTATCAACTCTGGAATAGTGCCTACAGACTGGAGTGTAGCTAATGTAATCCCCACAAAAGGACACAGAGAAAGCAGGGAACTACAGATCTAGCATTTTCTACACTGCTGATGTCAGGCGAAGAGTACATTTCAAAAGATTTAAAGAGCACTTGGAAAACAGTGGCAGGATTAGGCAGAGTCAACATGAATTTTTAAAAGGGAAACCATGTTTGACAAGTCGATAAGGGGGGAGTGAATGGATATGGTTTATTTGGACTTTCAGAAGACTTTCAATAAAATATAACATAAGAAATTAGCACATGATATTAAAGCACTTGGGATTGGGGGTAGTGCGCTAATGTGGACAGAAAACTAACTGGTAGGCAGGAAACAAAAAAAAAAAAGAGTAGAAATAAATAGATCTTTTTCTGAGTGGAAAGGCAACAACGAGTGTGGTGCCACAGGGATCAGTGCTTGGACCCAGTTATTCACAATATATATTAATGATTTAGATAAGGGAACTAAATGTAATATGTCCAAGTTGCAGAGGATACAAAGCAAGGTGACAGGTCGAGTTGTGATGAGGATAGAGAAATACTCCACAGTGATTATGCTAAGTGAGTAAGAGGGAAAATGCATGACAGAAGTAGTATAATATGGATAAATATGAGGTAATCCACTTTGGAAACAAAACCAGGAATGCAGATAACCTGAATGGCAATAGATTGGGAAAGTGGGAGGTATCATTGTACGTATATCAGTCGATCAAAGTAAGCAAGCAGGTGCAGCAGGCAGTGAAGACGACAAATAGAATGTCAGCCTTCATTTGAGTACAGGAGCAGGGATGTTTTGCTGCAGTTTTCCAGCACTTGGTGAGATCACATCTGGTGTACTGTATGCAGCTTTGGTTTCCTTAACTGAAGGAGGATGTTCTGGCTATGTAGCGGGTGCAACAAAGGTTTACCATATCGATTCCTGGAATGACAGGACTGACATATGAAGAGAGACTGGAGGGGTTAGAACTATAGAACAGGGTAAGGTTTATAATTGGGGGAAGGGTAATTACCATGCTGTTGGCAAGAACTGGGTAACATAAATTGGGAACAGATGCTGTCAGGGAAGAGCACTATTGAAATGTGGAGATTGTTTAAGGAATACATACTGCATGTGCTCGATAGGTTTGTCTCTAGCAGGCAGGGAAGATGCAGTCGAGTGAGGGAGCCTTGGTTCTCAAGAGAGGTCGAACGACTGGTTAAGACGAAGAAGGATGCTTATGTAAGGTTTAGGAATCAAGGAACAAAAAAGGCTCTAGAGGGATACAAGTTATCCAGGAAGGAGCTGAAGGAAGAGCTTAGAAGAGCTATAAGGGGGCATGAGAAAACCTTGGCAGATAGGATCAAGGAAAACTCCAAGGCTTTTTACACTTACGTGAGGACTAAGAGAATGACCAGAGAAAGGGTAGGGCCAATCAAGTCTTGTAAAGAGGATTTGTGCACGGAGCGCAAAGAGATAGGAGAGGTCCTTAATGAATACTTTTCTTCAGTATTCACAACTGAGGGGGACCTAGTTGTAGGGGAGGACAGTGTGAAACAGGCTGGTAGGCTAGAGAAGGTCAATGTTAGTAAGGAAGATGTGCTAGGAATTTTGAGGAAGTTGAAGATAGATAAGTCCCCCAGGCCTGATGGGATTTATCCAAGGATTCTATGGGAAGCGAGGGAAAAGATCGCAGGGCCTTTGGCGATGATCTTTTCGTCCTCACTGTCCACGGGTATAGTGCCAGAAGATTGGAGAGAGGCAAACGTCATTCCCTTGTTCAAAAAAGGGAATAAGGATAACCCCGGAAATTACAGGCCAGTTAATCTTACATCAGTGGTGGGCAAATTATTGGAAAGGGCTGTAAGAGATAGGATTTATGATCACTTGGAAAGGCACAGTTTGATTCTGGATAGTCAGCATGGATTTGTGAAGGGTAGATCATGCCTCACAAACCTTATTGAATTCTTTGAAAAGGTGACCAAACATGTGGAGGAAGGTAGAGCAGTGGATGTGGTATACATGGATTTAAGTAAGGCGTTTGATAAGGTTCCCCATGGTAGGCTCATGCAGAAGGTAAGGAGGCATGGGATAGGGGGAAATGTGGCAGATTGGATTCAGAATTGGCTGACCCTTCGAAGACAAAGGGTGGTAGTAGACAGAAAATATTCAACATGGTACTCAGTTATGAGTGGTGTTCTGGGTCCTCTTCTATTTGTGATTTTTGTAAAGAATTTGGATGAAGGAGTGGAAGGGTGGATTAGCAAGTTCGCGGACGATACGAAGGTGGGTCGAGTTGTGGACAGTGCGGAGGGCTGTTCTAGGTTACAAAGGGACATTGATAGGATGCAGAGCTGGGCTGAGAAGTGGCAGATGGAGTTTAACCCTGAAAAGTGTCAGGTGATTCATTTTGGAAGGACAAACTTGAAAGCAGAATACAGGGTTAACGGAAAGATTCTTGGCATTGTGGAGGAGCAGAGGGATCTTGGGGTTCATGTTCACAGTTCCCTGAAAGCTGCCACCCAGGTGGATAGAGTTGTTAAGAAGGCGTATGGTGTGTTAGCTTTCATTAATAGAGGAATCGAGTTCAAGAGCCGTGAAGTTATGCTCCAGCTATACAAAACCCTGGTTCGGCCACATCTGGAGTATTGTGTCGCCTCATTACCAGAAAGATGTGGAGGCATTGGAAAAGGTGCAGAGGAGATTTACCAGGATGTTGCCTGGAATGGAGGGAAGGTCTTACGAGGAAAGGTTGAGAGCTAGGACTTTTCTCTTTAGAACGACGAAGGATGAGAGGTGACTTGATAGAGGTGTACAAAATGATCAGAGGTATAGATAGGGTGGACAGCCAAAGACTTTTTCCTAGGGTGGAGGTAGCTATTACAAGGGGGCATAGTTTTAAAGTGAGTGGAGGTAGATATAGGGGAGACATCAGAGGTAGGTTCTTTAATCAGACAGTGGTCGGGGCGTGGAATGCATTGCCGGAGTGGGTAGTGGAGTCAGCCTCATTAGCGGCATTTAAGCAGCTATTAGATAGGCACATGGATGATAGTATAAAGGTGGGGGTGGAGATTAGATAGACTTTAGGATTAGGGTAAAAGTTCAGCACAACGTTGAGGGCCAAAGGGCCTGTACTGTGCTGTACTGTTCTATATTCTATATTAATTGAAGTTTAGAAGAATTAGGGGATCTCATAGAAACCTATACAATTCTAACAGGACTGGACAATGTAAACAAAGGAAGGATGTTCCCGGTGACTGGAAACTCCAGAACCTGGGGTTACAGTTTAAGGACACAGGTTACGCTGTTTAGGACTGAGAGGAGGAGAAATGTCTTCACCGAGACAGCAGTGAAATCTCTGCCACAGAAGACCGTTGAGACCAAAATATTGGATGTTTGGAAGGAATTAGATAATGTTCTTAAGACTAAGGAAATCATAGTGTATGGAGATAAAGCAGGAACAATGTAGAGAATTGGATGATCATCTGTGATGATACTAAATGGTGGAATAGGCTCAAAGGGCCAAATAGCCTACACCTGCTCCTACTTTCTATGTTTCACCTAAGACTGGTGATTTTTCATGAGTGCCCTAAGAAACAAATTTCTACTTAATAGGCGAGCAGTGCTAAGTATAAATGACAGAATTTTCTTGTGTTGTCTTCCTTCAGAAGAAGGTGAATATGCGATGGAAAAATAGATAAGCCAGAATTGAACAAAGATACACTTACCAGGCTTCCAAGAATTTATCAGTGCGAGGTTTTGATTCCAAAGTGATACGCTTTTCAAACTCAAAGCTGTGTATGGATCTTAACTTTCTTAACAGTGGGACATCACGATCTGGTTGCAAAGTCTCAGACCGCACCTTCACCGGGGACCCCAGACTTGGCCCATTTTGAGGCCCATTTCCAGCACCATGGCTGTTCTCTTCTTCTGTAACACCCTGCATTCCAAAAGAAAACTGTTTTACTGCATTTGTCACAAAGATCACTAAGAATAGGTAAGTGTAGCTATTAAAAAGCCTTTTACAGCTCATTTTATCTATCCCCCCTTCTGTTTCATGATTTTTTCCTTTCTTTCTCTTTTCGCTGTCAACTTAACTGTCCAACGACTTAGTCAGTGTTTTAGTTTGTTACCTGTACAGCAGATTTTAACATTAGACATCCTTTGGGTGAGTCATTAAACTGAAATCCTACCTATCCTCTCAGGTGGACTAAAAAAGTTACTAAAATTTATTTGGCATATTGGCATATTAATTAGGGAAAACACTACAAGGTATTTAACAGCCACAGAAACAGACATCAGGACAGAAGAAGCTTGGTCAAATACCCAAGTTTTCAGGAGCATACTAACAGGACAGACAACACAGCTAGAAAAGTGAAAAGGTTCATGGAGAGGATTCCAGAGCTTTGGGTTAAACTTCTCATTTTTTTAAAATCCCCGACGGTCTTACCCCTCCCTATACTTTAATCTCCTTTGGCTCTCAACTCTTCAAGGCATTTGCTCTTCCCCAAATCTATTCTTTTGTGCATCTTCAATTTTAATCACTCCACCATTGGCAGCTGAATTTTCAGTTGTCCAAATCTCAAACTCAGGAATTACTTTTTTTATACCTTACTATCTCACCTTCCTCTAAGACACTCCTTCAGAGATACTGCTTTGACCAAGCTTTTGATCATCTGATCTAGTAATACCTTATATGGCTTAATGCAATATTTTGTTTTGTAAAGTTCCTGTGAACTGCTTCAGGACATTTAATTGCTTTAAAGACACTATATGAATGTAAATTGCTGTCTAAGACAGCTGAAAGCTGAATTATCACTGATGAAGTGACTAGGGATCCCTAAGAGACCATCATTAAACAAGCAAAATTAGCAAGGCTGGAAGAGGTTAGAAGGGTAGAGAGGGACAATGCCAGAGGGATTTGGAAACAAAGAAAAGGATTTTAAAATTAAAATGTTTGGATGTACTTGCGCTGGGAGCTAATGAACGTCAGCAAAAACAGTGGTGATGGGTGAATGGCACATAATGAAAGTTAAGACTCCGCTCTAAGGGAAAAAATATGTAAGGGTGCTTTGTCTTAGGAGTGGGAGGGTCATCATCCCTTCAGGCTTCAGACTTGAGGAGCAGAAACTGGAAGAATAGAATAGATTCTTTACAGGAAATGGGGCATGAGAAGGCACGGCCAAGATACATGTGGAAGTCTGTGAATTTAGTGAATATTTCTTGATGCACTAGTTCCAGAAATGGAAACAGGGAAATAAAGAGTCATAGTGAAACCATGATGAGAGGAAAGACAGAAACTGGAGACAAAGTTGATGATTGTTTTTCCAGTTCAGAGAGAGAGCAGAGAGTGGCATTGATACCATGTCGATGTATTGGAAAAATAGCTAAGGGAGGAGACCTGATTAGGACAGAAACAAGAGGAAGTTGTTCAAAGTGCAAAAAGACTTTCAACTTCTCCTTTAATTACATTTACTACCTCCAAGTAAAAAGTATGAGCATGGCAAACTGCAGAATTTTCAGCTTTGCCTGTTATTTTGTGGGTTATGGGGAATATTCCCTGTTTATCAAAAAAATTAATTGCTCCTGTCAAATAAATCACATTTACAGATGATATAAAAATTGGTGGGATGTTAAGTAGTGAGCACGTAGACTACAAGAGGACGCAGACAGGCTGGTCAGATGGGCTAATCAGTAGCAAACAGAACTCAATCTGGATAAATGTGAGGTGATGCATTTGGGCAGGACAATCAAGGCAAGGGAATACATGATGAATGGTAGGACCCTGGGAAGCACAAAGGATCAGAGGAACCCTGGAGTGCTTGTATACCGGCCCCTTATGGCAGCAAATATTGCATAGACTGTGGTTGTTTTCCTGAGAACAGAAGAGATTGAGAGGGGGCATGACTGAGATGTATAAGATTATGAGAGGCATAGATAGGGTAGACAGGAAGAAACTTTTCTCCTTGATGGAGGGATCAATGACTGGGGTCACAAGTGTAAGGTAAGGGGCAGAAGGTTTAGAGGGGACACAAGGAAAATTATTTTGACCCAGAGCGTGGTGGGAATCTGGAACTCACTGCCTGTGAGGGTGACAGAGGCTGAAACTCTCGTAACATTTAAATCATATTTAGATATGTATTTATGATGCCAAGGCACATAAGGCTATGGGCCAACAGCTGGAAAATGGGATTAGAATAGTTAAGGTGTTATTTTTGACCGGTGCAGACACAACGGGCCAAAAGGCTGCTTCTTGTACTGTCGATCTCTATGATTCTACGGTTTCTATTAATTTCAATCTTTATCTAGTGTGATTATTCTTAAACTGCAGTTTTAGTCTCATCACAACTCAGCATTTAAATTAAAATTAAAATTCATTCACTAAAATAAAATATTCATTCAATTAAAAACAGCACAAATACTTTCTCATATGCATCTCTGGTCTGACATCCAGTCTTTTGGAGGATCGCCATTAAATCTGCATCAGATGAAGCCAAGAGCCACTCATTTCAATGTTAGAAATGCTACTTTATTAAGGAATGAACAGTTATATTTTAAGTGCAGGTTTTACAGCTAAAATCATAACAAAATTAAAAGTTTAATCACATGACCCAAAGCCATAAAAATTATCTTCGCCAAATGCATAAATTTAGGCTGGTTAATGAAGGACAGTGAAGAGAACAGCTGATACCTTCAGCAATTTCTTAATGCTCAGGTTGTCAATGGGGCTCCTCAAATTAGACCACATGAAAACATAATATCTGCCATTCAGTTAAATCAGTTGTATTTCTTTTTATAATCTAATAGTTGAAGTAAATAATGAGTAAAATCGTTCACATCAAACAGTTATCCTTACTTCACCTTGTATTACTGCAATTCGCTTTTGCAATTAATCACAGGAAATCATAGGAGATGCTGTTTTATAACAAAATTATATCATGTAATATTTTATTAGGGCCATTGATGTACCACAGTTATTGCATCTTCATGTTGTTGGAATGTGACGTAATTGGGAAGGATTCATAGGCTGTTTAAAAGACCATAGTGAACATATGGTTCAGGTGGTTTACAGTGAACTCTGTGTCAAATTCCATTGTACTTAGAATTTTGCAAGTGTACTAATGGATGTCTATGATTCAGACTAGAAAACTGAGACAATATGAGAAAGAAACACAGGGTGTCAATTTTGGGTTACTTCACTGCAGAGGCCCAGGACTGAATATGGGAGGCTATTTTAGGAAAGGAAAAACGTGGATAGCTCAATTAGACAGCTGCCCTGCAGGTACTATTAGAAATAAGATGTTGGAGCAGAAGTAGAGCAAATTCAATGGGCTGAATGGTCTATCATTCAACGTGATCATAGCTAATCTGATAATCCTGGACTCTACTTACCTGTGTTTTTACCACCACAACTCTGATTAAAACTCTATCTATCTCAGCCTGAATGCACTTAATAATCCAGCCTCAACAGCTCTCTGCAATAAAGAATTCCACAGATTTTCTACTTTCAGAGAAGAAATGCCTCTCATCTATCTTAAATGGATGACCCCTAGCTCTCAAATTATGAGTCCAAGAGTTGCCCACAGGAGAACCCAAACCCCCTGCATCAGCCATGTCAAGTCCCCTAAAAATCTTATGTTTCAATAAGATCTCCTCTCATTCTTCCAAACTCCATTGAGTACAAGCCCAACTGACTCAAACTCTCCTCATAAGAAACTCAGTCCAGACCTGTGTAATGAACATTTTCTGGACTGTCTCCAATGACAGTACATTTTTCCTTTCATAAGAGGACCAATACCTTCGCAGTATTCCAGGTGTGGTCTGACCAGGGCCTTGACCAAGACCAAGACTTCCCTATTTTTATACTCCATTTCCATATAGGCTGCTATCCTGAAAATGTCCCCTTTATTCCCATTAGCGTTTTCTACCATTAAGTCAATGCTCTCTCCATGCCAATATATACTCCCAACACTGTGGGCTCTCACCTTATTAAATAGCCTTATAAGAGCATAGGAAATAGGAAATGAGCACGGTCAACAGCCCCTTGAGCCTGCACCGCCATTCAATAGAACCATGGCTGATCTAACGCTTCCCTGCCCTTTCCTCATACCCTTGATTCCCCGACTGATCAAGAACCTAACCATCTCAGCCTTAACAGACACAGGGACTGTGCCTCCACATCTCTGATGTCATGAGTTTCAAAGACTCCCTACCCTCACAGGAAATTCCGCCTCACCTCTTAAACCGATCTTAAGTGGGCAGTCTTTATTCGGACACAGTGCACTCTGGTCCTAAACTCCCATGTGAGGGAACAACCTCTCATCATTTACTCTGTCAAGCCTGTTAAGAATCCTATATGTTTTAATGAGATCACCTCTCATTCTTCTAAGCTCCAGTGAGGAGTCCCAACCTCTAAGCTCTGCTCATAAGACAATCCCTCCATACCAGGGATCATTCTCATGACCTTTTCTGAACTGCCTTCAATAAAATAATATTTTTTCTTAAACATAGACTAAAAATTCTCATGGTACACTAGATGGGATCTCACCACCATCTTGCACATTTGAGTAAGATATATACTCCTACTCCAACCCCCTTAAAATAAAGGGCCATCATTCCATTAGTCTTCCTGATTACCTGATACATCAGTGTGCTAGCTTTCTGTATTTCATGCACAAGTACCCTCAAGGCCCTTTGTCTTGCAGCTTCTGCAGTTTTTATCAATTAAATAATATAGTTCCGTTGTTCTCCCTTCCAAAATGAACAAATTTATATTTTCCCACATTACGTTCGATTTTCCAACTTTTTGCTCCTTACTTAACCTGTCTGTAAACGGTTTGTATCACTTTTGAAACCCACCCTTTCACCAATTTTTGTGACTCTGCAAATTTGGCCACAGTATTTTAACTTCCTTCCTCCAAGTCATTAATATATATGTAA